CAGCCAGTGCACGCATCGTGTTTGTGTGGGGGGTGGGGGGTGGGAGGCGTCACGCATGTCTCTCGGAAATGTCTAGAAGGTGTCTCGGAAGTCTCTCGTAAGTGGCTCGGAGGTGTCTCGGAGGTGTCTCGGAGGTGCCGATCGCCCGCCGACTTGGCCATGCCCGGCAGCAGCAGCGAGGCCATCAGGAAGTGGGAGAGGTAGTTGACCTGCAGCGTCATCTCGTGTCCGTCGGCCGACCACGCGGGCGCCTCGCCCGGCTGGTACACGGCCGCGTTGCAGATCAGCCGGTCAATCGGCCGGTTGAGCTTGGACCTCTCCAGCTCCTTGCAAAAGGCGCGCACAGACGCAAACGAGCCGAGCTCGACTTGCAGGGGCGTAAAGTCGTCGGCGGGGAAGTCGCGGTCGAGCGCGGCGTCGCGCATCTTGTCCAGATCGCGCACCGCGCCGAACACGTGGTATTCCCCCGTGCGGAGCAGGTTCGCCGCAGCCTCGAGCCCCGCGCCCGACGAGGCGCCCGTGATGACCGCCAGCTTCTTGTCGCCAAACTTCTTGGTCGCGCGACGGCGCTTGAGCATGGCGCTCGGCCGCGGGATCAGCTTTGCCGGCCCGAAGTCGGTCAGGAACTTGAAGGCGGCAGCATCCGCGAGCAGCACGAGCAGGAGCACGCGTCTCATCGCCGTGCAGAGCGGCGGCCGAAGGAACGCGGCAGAACCAGGCGTGGGCGTCCGGCCTGCGGCGCGGGCGGCGGCGGGACTGAGCGCCGGGAGCGTGGGGCGCGTCGGGGTGGGTGAGGAGGTGGCGCCGGCCGAGTGGCGAGGGAACAGCTCGCTGATGACTCGGATGAGTCAAAAAAAATGCCGGGGGGCTTTGGCGCTCTGGATGGGGCGTGACCTCCTGCCTCCAACCTCCTTCCTTTTTGAGCAGGTGTGACGCCGCGCGAGCGACGCTCCGAGATCGCCCGAGATAGCGCGGCGCGGCCCCGACGAGATCGCCCGAGATGGCGCGAGATCGCCCGAGATTGCGCGGCGCGGCCCGAGGCGAGGTGGATGGGTTGGGAGCGAGGGGGCGGAAGTGCTCAGTGCGGTAGATGGTCAGCTCGAGGCGCGTGAGCCGGACTTGTGAGCCGGACCACCCCCTCTTGAAACCTGCGTTGTTTCTACCACGACGCGATCTTTGTCAAGCGCAACAACTTCAACCTGCTGCTCCACGAGACGTTCGGCGGCGGCTTCTCGCCCACCGCCGTTCTCAAGCTGCGCCGCCTCGCGCGCAAAGCCGCGCGCGGCAGCGTCGACCGCACGGCCTACTCGCCCAAGTACTCGCTTTCTTTTATGTCCCACCATGCAGAGCGCATCTCTCTCTCTGTTGTGCGAGGCGTGAACCGCGCCATTCGCTCTCACCTGGCAACCCTGTCTGCACGTCTCGCGCGCGCGTGAACAGGGCTCCAGGCCCCAAATGACGTGTGAGTGTTAGAGTTGTTTGCGTTGTTGAGCCAGGACTCAACATACGGGCTGTCGCCGTCCCAAACTGTCACTCCCCTTTCTCGTGTGTCTCGCGCCTTGCGGGGGGGGAGCGGAAAGGAGGAACCTCTTCCCAAGAGCACCACTCTTGGAGCGCCGCCACTACCACCCAGAGCGCTGCAAGCAGCGCCGGGCAATGACGGCCTACCGCCCACCCAGCCCCCCCTCGGCACACCCCGGCAGCCAATGTGTGACGGCTCGAACCCGCTAAGCCATCCCGCAAGCGGGATGGCCCGCCACTCGAACCCGCAAGCGGGTGTACGAACCGCGAGCGGCTCGCACTCGTGACACGCAGGCGTCCGACAGACGGCGCTTCTCCCGGCCGGGGTGGGGCGCGCGCGGGGGCGGCGGGTGTGCGGGATGTCTGTGGGCCCGAGAGCGATATGCCATGTCCGCCTTGCGTTGTTTCATAACATCGAAGGCTAAGCTCAAAAGAAATCGATTTCCCGTAATCGACGAAATCGCGCCGGCCGCATTCGTGGTAGGGTGAGGATTCATGCTCAAGGCGGCCGTGCTCCTCTCATTCATCGGCAGCGCGTCTGCCTTCGCCCCCGCTCGCAATGATCCTTGCTCGCCGGCCTTGCTGCTACTCCTCTTTCCAATCGTCGCCGGCGAGTGGGACTGCGTCAACAACTCACTCGCGCAGGTAGTCGTGGAGAAGGCCAACCCGTTTTCCACCATCCTCAGATGGGACTTTGACTACAAGAATTTCACGACAGCGGTGGCCAAAGTCACTACATCAGAAGGCAGCAATCTGAAAGTGAACGGTTGCGCCTACGACAGCAGTTCCGCCGACATCTTCTGCTTCAGGACGAAGAGACCGAGCCTGTTCTACCGGCTTGACGGCGACGGGGTGGGAACCCTCATGAACCTGACGTGGGACCCCGCCGCCGACTGTAATGTTGCCGACGACGGGTCTGTCGTCGCCGCCGGAGCGCGCAACGGCAGAATGTACTTCCTCCTGGCAGGCGCATGCCCCACGAGGTCTCTGTTTAGCATCGACCTGACCGGAGGTGGCACCTCCTTCATTGCGAACCTGCTCGTAAACAACTCCAACATAGGAGCATTCAACGGAGTGGATATCGCGGTGTCCGACACTCACATCGCAACCGTCAAGAATGACGGCCGCTTCTGCACGCTGCCTAACCCGCCCACAGGCACCGATCCGGTGACTTGCACCGATCCGCCCGGCGGAAGGCTGGACGATCGAGCCGATTCCTTCGGCGCGGGCATGTTTTACAACTCCGAGTTTGTCTTCTTCTCCAACAGGCTCAGCTGGTTCTTCCGCAGGACATCGGACGGCAACATCACGCTTCAGCGACAGGGCAACGTATTCATCACGTCGACTAACGATGGATGGTCGTGCGGGTCCGGCGATGAGCTGATAATTGAGCTTGTCAGTCCATCGCCTCCGCCGCTCTCGCCGCCGCCGCTCTCGCCGCCACCGCCCTCGCCGCCACCGTCCGCCTCGCCCTCTCCGCCGCCCCCCTCTGCCTCGCCTTCCCCTCCGTTGTACGCCTCGCCACCACCCTCGCCGCCGCCGCTGAGCCCGCCGTCGCCCTCCACGTCGCCCAACTGCAGCTGCTCGCCCTACTACGACCGGGAGCGCGGCATGGCGAACTCGTCCTCCTTTCTCAACGACACCAACGCACTCTTCATCGTCCTCCAGAACAGCTCCGCCTGGCCGCTCAGCCTCCCGGTGTACCACCCGGCGTGGGGCTGCGCGTGCGAGAGCGCCGAGGACCGCCCCGTCTGGCTGGCCGCCCTCGACCTGTGCTTCTGGTTCGACAACCAGACCGCGACGCGGCAAGACGCGCTCTTCGGCGACTCGGGGGAGCTGCGAGGGGCATACGAGCGCGTCTGCGCCGCCTTCGCGCCGGGCGAGCAGGTCAACGAGTACTACCACCACGTCCGGCTGTGCGCGACGCCCGCCCTTGTGCGCGAGATCTACTTCCTCGCCAAGCAGTACTGCGCGCCCGAAGAGGCCAACAACTTCCAGCTCTACCCGCGCCTCGCCCGCGACGGCGCCTTGATGTGCGGCACTGACATCGGCCCGGTCGGGCTCACGCACCTAGAAGCGCATACGCATTCTGTATTCCAGCTAGCGCTCGAGAGTATTCAGCCGTATTCGACCGTATTCAGCCGCCTTCACTGTATTTCTGCCCCGCCGTATTCGCGCGTTGCTCTGAATATGCATAATACCGTATCCCGCCGAGGATGGTGTATTCAGCACGTAGGCCCACGCAGAGCAACGAGGAGGCGGACTGCCCCTGCAACATCTTCTTCGACTACGACGCACTGGCAAACTCGTCCTTGACCGCGCTCGACAGCGTCGACACCTTCTACGCCGCGATCAGCCAGCCCAACAGCTCCTGGCCGGTGCAGCGGCCAGCGACGCGTGACGGCGAGTGCGTTTGCGACGACCCCGAGTTCCGGCCGGTGTGGCTCGCGCCGATCGACATGTGCGACTACTACGCCCGCCAGCCGCCCGCGCTGCAGGCGCTGCTCCTTCCGAACGGCACAGGGGCAAACGGCACAGGGGCGCAGGCGGTGTACGAGAGGGCGTGCCTGGGGCTGTCGAGGCTCGAGCAGAACCGCGACTTCATGCACGTCAAGTTCTGCGCGGACCGTGACTTCATCACCGACATCTTCTACGAGCACGACTACTGCCAGCGCCGCGACGAGTCGGGGCAGCTGATTCCGAGGACTGCTCCGGACGGGCTGCTCTTTTGCCAAGGCATCATACCCTCGCCGTCCCCGCCGCCGCCCTCACCGCCGCCACCCTCCCCACCGCTGCCGCCCGCCTCGCCGCCACCGCCACCGCTGCCGCCCGCCTCGCCGCCGCCCACGCCGCCGCCTCCCTCCGCCTTGCCTGCGCCGCCGCCGTCCGTGTCGCCGTCGCCGCCGCCGCCCACGCCGCCGCCTCCCTCCGCCTTGCCTGCGCCGCCTCCGTCTATGTCGCCGTCGCCGCCGCCGCCTCTGCCGCCGCCTCCCTCCGCCTCGCCTGCGCCGCCGCCGTCCGCATCGCCGTCGGTGGCCCCTTTCGGCTTTACACTCCGCCAGGGCTTCTGCGCTGACGACAACGGCAGCAAGTGCAAGGAGCTTGGCCGCGAACTTCGCAAGGGCAACTACGGCGTCGCGCGGCTTGCGTGCCGACAGCTCTGCGAGCGGACACGTGGCTGCCATGCCGCCGAGCTTCTTCGCCTCCACAAGACGTATTCGCTCTGCAAGGTGTGCGGCTCGGCCGCCACGCGCACGAACAAGGCGCCGGCGAACAACGTCGAGTGTCTCAGTTACAACAACGGGGACTGAGGCTGGTTCCCTGGTGCCCTCCCCTGCGCTGGACGGGTACCCCCCGCAACCCATGCACATGCACATGTGGCATGTGCATGTACATGTTGCATGTTGTTGTTGCAAATGCCACGTTTTCTTAATGCCCGCAACCCACTGTAAGAGGCAGGGACCCGAGGGTGAGCGGTCCGAGGGAGACCATGTGGAAGACGGCTAGAGGGAGCGGACCGTGAGTTGAGGAAATCGAGGGACGCGACCCACTTCGCCACAGACGGTCCCGCGCCTCGCCGCTATGACGGCCACACGGCCGCAGCTCGTGTGCGTGTGGCCGGCTTTGTCCGGAGTGAACACTCCAACGCGCTCGTCGGTGACGGTGTCCCCCAACCTGCGCCGCGCTCGGCGAACCTCGACAGCGCTTTCGGTGGCATGCAGCTCTTTGCAGCCGGCGCCACCTCACGAGAGCGATTAATACAGGTATTTTTTGAGCTTAGCCTTCGATGTTATGAAACAACGCAAGGCGGACATGGGGTATCGGTATTTTTTTGAGATCGCGTTCGTGTTTTATAATAAGAGCTCGCACCATTTGTGGATCTTGCTGTGCCTGTACGATGAGCGACATCCCGTCGCCGTCGCCGCCGCCGCCGCCGCCGCCGCCGCCGCCGCATGAACTGGCCTCGTGGATCACCATCCTAGTCCTATGGATCGTCTTTGCCCTGATCGCCTTTGTGCCGCCCTTGATCGGAGCGTCGACCTCCTCGGACCGGAAATATGGTCTCACTTTCCCCACGAAATTCTTTGCTGGTCTTACACCGGCCTCGGCACTACGGATCAGGCTTAGCGTCGCGCAGAATGCCGCACGCAATATGAGGACACTCACGACATTCCGTTTTCTCAGCGTCGCATGGATCATCGGACTCTGCGTGAACTTACCGATCCTCCTCGAAGGAGTCGAGCCGGAGGACGTGCGAGTCATAGACATGGCACTCGGCATCCTCGCAGTCATCCTTGGCACGACGATTCGCCGCAGCCGCGATGTGCTGTTCTTTTTAACAGCACCCATGTTCGCAGTCGTGTACCAGGCAATGCTCCTCCTCTCCTGCCGCCCTCTTGACACTGTGGGCGTCCGGCTGGTTGGCCTCATCATTGGCCTCGAGTTTCTGTACACCACCCTCGGCACAGAGATGCATGAGGCGGAACTACTGTGGACGGACGGTGTTGAGTGCGCCGGTTTGCGGTACGCCTTTCTCGCAGCTCGGGCCGTCTGGGGCGGTGCCTTTGCCGCAGCCTGCGTGGCTGCCGCGTGGTCGTGCTCTTCACGTCGTGCGCTCGGGCGACTCTGGATCACTATGCGCATCGCTTGCCCGACCGCGCTCCTCCTGCCGACCACGCACCCGGGACTGAGGCTCTTTTGGGGCGACTGCGCTGTCACGGCTGATGCCGGAACGCAGTATCCGCTGGCCGGCGTCACCGGCACCCTGATTTGGTCCGTCACTGGCACCGTCATTTTCACGCTGCTCCTCACTGAGCGCAATCGCGGGCGTCTCGCGCACTGGATCGCAGGAGCGGGCTTTCCACCTTAGTGTGTGTGGAGAAGTTCACCGCCTGCATCCTACCGCCTGCCTCCTACCGCCTCCCTCCCACTCTTACATCTCACCTCGGGTGTGTGCTTACCTTCTTACCTCTTACACCTTAGGAGCCGGCCTACCGGAGGAGTCTCGGAAGCTCGCTGCCGTGGGCACGCTGTTGGGGGCGACATACTGCAACCCGGTCGATCAACTGGTTGACGAGGCCGTCGAGTTGTTCACCGTGCTGCCGTTCTCGCTGCTGACCGTCGACGTGCTCCGCCCGACGTGGACGAACGCGGATTACGCCGTGATGCGACCCAAGTTGCGGACATGCGACGTTGGCGAGTGTGACGCTTTCGTGAGCCACGCCTGGGCCGACGACGCCGAGGAGAAGTACGAGGCGATCGCCGCGTGGGCGGCGAGTTTCGAGAGACGGTAACTGACCACACACGGATCACACCTCCCTCCCCCGGCGGGTGACATGCGAACCTCCCCGCTGCCCCCCCCCAAACCCAACGTCCCCGCTGCATACCCCAAGCCCACCCTCCAAACCCCGCGGAGGTGGGGGCGCGAGCCGTTGCTCTTCTTGGACAAATGCTGCGTGGACCAGCAGGACGTTCGGCGGTCTCTGCGGGGCTTGCCCGTCTACATCGGAGGAAGTAGGGAGCTGCTCTGCTGCGTGGGGCCCACTTACTGCTCGAGGCTCTGGTGCGCCAGCACCCCACCCCTAAACCCTGACTCGAAGCCCTAGATACCGTTCACCGCAACCCGAGCCCGAGAAAGCTCAACCCAAGACCCCTAGCGCCAACCCTGATAGGTGCATCCTCGAGCTCTTCTGCTTCCTGACGCTGCGTGGGAGCACGGACGCCATCACGATCCTCCGGACCGGTTCGATGAGGCGGTCGAGCGGCGCCTCGGAGCTCGAGGCGGCGGACAACATTCTCGGGCCTCAGCTCTCGACTTTCCGGCTCTCCGAGGCGACGTGCTCTCTCGCCACAGACCAGGACCGCATCCTGTCGACCATTGAAGCCGCCTTTGGCCTGCAAGAGGCCTTCAGCCGTAGGCCGTCACAGCAGCCGTGCTTGCTTCCAGAGACCCGCGCACCCCTCACGCGACCGACGCCACGAAGCCATTGGCACACATCGACTAGCCCAATTGACGCGAGTCTCTGGTCGACACATACGGAGCTCGGGGGACCACAGGTGAGGAGCGCAGGAAACGCAGTCGAGACTAGCACAGGTCCCCTCTCTCTCGCGCGCGCGCGAGTCTTGAGAAGAAGCCTGGGTGGAAGGAGCAGCTAGCAGACAGCGGCTGACGCCGGTTCTAGCCCACAGACACGAGGCTGGGGAGGCGGGAACAAAGGGGCACACCCCCCATGTCTCCCCGTATCTCCCCGTATCTCCCCGTATCCGTATCTCGACCATGCGGAACATGGAGAGACTCTCGGTGAGGTGACAAGAGATTCCTCGAGTCGCTCAGTCGCTCAACAAGGGGAGTGGTGCGTTCTGCACTTGCTTACATCTACTACTCTCTTCCAGGCGTTCAACAAGGTGGTGCGCGAGCTCTTCGATTTAGGACCCGAACGCAGCGCGAATCTCCATCTCAAGAAGGCGCGACCCCCCCCCCCCCCCGGTGCAGCCACGCCCCTCCATCCCCGCCCCACGCCCGGCGGACCCAACCGCCGTGTGTCTCGCGTGGCTGGTCGCAGGCCCAGCGTGTGTCGCGTGGCTGGTCGCAGCGCATTCCGCTGCTGCCAACACGGAGCTACTCCGACCGCACGATCACGCACACCGAGGACGGCGGGGAAGAGGCAGACGGAGCGGGAGAGGGGGGGGTGCTGGCGCGCCTCACGTCGCTGATGCGCCAACTGACCACCGCCAGCGAGGCGGAAGGCGGCGGCCTAGGCGGCGGCGCCTCTTCATTGGTCTGAGCAGGCTGCGACGGCGACGGCCTATTGGTCACCCTCCTGTGCTGAGGATGACGCGGTGTCGAACCCGGCGCGACCGCGGAGTTGGTTCATTTCATGGTTTGCACGCGTGCGCAACTCTACAGCTATATGGCAGAACTTACGGGGCCCGGGTACCGCGCGGTAAATGAGAAAAACGCTCGCGCGATAACCGATGACATCGGGACTCACCTGTTTCACGCTGTCACGCATGACGGTTGGGAGTTTCATGTGACATAGCATATCTCTGTCTTTTCAACTCACAGTACGTGAACATCGAAACGACTCCGAGTGTGAAACCGACGTCATGCCCTCACTCGAGGCGCGCGAGCGGCTCTCTCAGTACACGTTTTGGTCGCCCCACCCGCCTCGCTGCTGGCTCGCGGGCGGCGCCTTGCCGTTTTCGGTGCCCGACGGCTCTGCGAGAAAGATTGGCGACCGCCGCCCGTCTTGCGGCGGCCGCGGCGCGGGCGCCTTGCCGGCGTTGAGGCCGTGTGTGGTCGGCTGCCCATCCATGTAGGGGATCGGCCCTGCCCGGACCGACGGGAGGACGAGCGCGTTGAACCTGTCCACCTCGTCCGCCGAGCCGATCGCGATCGAGGTGCGCTGGTCGATTCCCTGGAGCAGGCAGGCAGGGGAGGGAAGGAGAGGTCGGGTGAGCTTCTCCACACACACAACGTGGTGGGGCACGGATCAGGAGCTGGCAGAGCATTCAAAGTGCAAGGCCAAGTGCACGTGGGAGGCCGTGGAAGCGTGTGCCCGGAGGGTTGTCGAGGGTGTGTGTCAGTCAGTCAGTCAGTGTTACACACCTCCTAGCATGGAGGACGGGCCCACACGCACACACACGCTGCACACGATTGGCTCGGGAGCCGACACGAGGCACAGTGCCACCGGCCGTAGCACCGGGGGTGTGTGTCGGAGGAATTTCAGGACGATGTGGAGCAGAGACTGGCGCGTCTCGGAAACGTGTCTGAAGAGCGTGTCGGAGGTGTGTCGGAGGTGTGCAGCGCACCTCGATCGGCACGTCGAGGACGGAGCCTCCCGTCACGGCGTCCGACGACTTGCCGCCGGCGGCCTGAGACAAAACTCACGCGGTCACCTCACTGGCCAAGGCCTGGATACGATGAAATCGGTCAAACTCTGACGAGACGTGGGGAGCAGGACGGCCTTGGGCGGCGGGTGTGGCGGCGGTGGCGGCGGTGGCGGTGGCGTTGGCGGCGGCGTTGGCGTTGGCGGCGGCGTTGGCGTTGGCGGCGGTGGCGGTGGCGGCGGCGTTGGCGGCGGTGGCGGTGGCGGCGGTGGCGGCGGTGGCGGCGGTGGCGGCGGTGGCGGCGGTGGCGGCGGTGGCGGCGGTGGCGGCGGTGGCGGCGGTGGCGGCGGTGGCGGCGGTGGCGGCGGTGGCGGCGGTGGCGGCGGTGGCGGCGGTGGCCTCGACGAGAAGGCTGAAGGGCGCGCACTCAAAGGCGAGACGCAGCTTGGCCGGCGCCGTGTCGCCGCCCGGCGGGTTGGTGAGCACGCCTGGAAGTGTCTCGGAAGTGTCTCGGAAGTGTCTCGGAAGTGTCTCGGAAGTGTCTCGGGGGTTGGTGAGCACGCCCTGCCCCTTGGAGAACTGCTGGCAGATGTCGGGCACCTAGTACCATACCTCCCATAGTACTGAACCCAGCGTGGGTTCAGTCCCGCGGGTGGTGGGGTATGTCGGGAACCAGCCCGCCGCAGAAGCGGAGCGTGTACCGCTGGTCGAGCCAGAAGTCGATCAGCTCGCCTGTTGATTAACAGACACGTATGGCTCTCTGATGCCCAATGCGTGCACTCGTCCCTCTCGTTATGTGTGGGTTCGTGTGTGCGGGGGCCCTCCTTGTCTCTGCCTAGACAGTGTGAGGTAACACCTACCTACCTACCTACCTACCTACCTACCTACCTACCTACCTCGCCTGTTGATTGCACGTGACGAGCGACACATCACAGGCTCGAGAGTTCAACGGGAGGAGTTCGAAGAGCCAGCAGTCGGGCAGCGCCGTAGCCGGGCAGCTCGTGCCGCGCGGTGCGCAGGTTGGCGGGCGAGAAGATCCTCGACTGGGGCGAGATCCGCACCTGCCATCGCAGGGTTGGTGAAATGGCGCATGAGTACGATGAGGAAAGAGCTTGGGCTGCGGCGACGGGGTGGGTCTGTGTCTGACGTGGCGGCTCTGTGGTGCTCTGGGTTCCTCCTCACCCGCAGCCTTACCCGTGGCCCGCTTCCCTCCCCCGTGTGTAATTAATTAATTTAATTAATTAATTAATTAAATTAACCCCGTGTGCTCCGCGAGTGCGTGTTAGCTTCCGTGGCCCCGACCCCATCTTCTGTGGCCCCTGTCCGCACCCTCTCCCGCGAGCACAGCCAACCGTCCGCGCCGCCCACGCCGAGTGTGAACTCGTAGACGCCGTCGTCGAGCGTTGCAAACGCGGTCGTGCGCGGGCCGTAGTTGGCCACCATCGATGCCACCTGGTCGCGGCCGGTCGCGCCGATGACGCCGGTCGCCGCCGGCCAGATGCCGATGATCGTCCCGACGGCCCAGTTGTTGTCGACGATGGCGGAGCCGTCGAGCGGGTCCCAGCAGAGGCAGAAGCGTCCGCCCGCGTGCATCTCGCGCACGTCGGGCGCCTCCTCCGAGGAGCCCGTCTTGATGAGCGGCTCGCTCCGGCACACGTCCCACAGCAGCTGGTCGGCCAGCACGTCCACGCCGAGCTGCACGTCGCCAAACACCGACTTCTGCTCCTCCGCCTTGACGACCAACTCGGCGCGGAGCGCTGCCGAGACAGTGGCAAACGCGCCGAAGAGCGTCAGCATCAGCCGGCGCAGGTCCGGGTCCGCCACCTTTGCGTCGAGCACGTCCGCCATGCTTGGGTACGACTCCTTTCGCACCTCGTCGGTGTAGAAGGCTGTCGACGCGGCGCCGACGTCGGCCAAGCTGACCGTGCCGCGGCTCGTAGCCGCGGCGGGACGGCCTGACGCCGCCGCATGACACGGTACGCTGAAGGACGACGCGCGGAGGGCGCTTCCGAGGAGGAGGAGGAGAGAGCACGAGCAGCGCATCGTCGAGGCTAGTCGTCGCTAGCTGTGTTGCGCCGCTGGACCCTGCCCTCCCCCCCTCATGGTCCCACCACCTAGGTTCTCGAGGTTCTCGAGGTGGATATCCTTTGGCCGCGTTGGGTAGCGAGGATTGGTGTGACGCGATCCACGCAGGCGTGTTTTCTGGCGGCCGACCGTCAGTGCACGGAGTTGCCCCTTCTCCGACTGCCCCGGCTAGTTCCCGAGGTCGTCGGGTGTGACCCCGCCCTCCCCCCCTCATGGTCCCACCACCTAGCCTTCGATGTTATGAAAACAAACGCAAGTGTGCGTGTCTGGTGTTTATTAGCTCCGAGTAGAGGGGGCGCTCCGCTGCTAGGGGAAACCTGGAGCGCGGACTAACCCTCGGAGACCCGTGTTTACTTTAAGGCCCTTTCCTTGCGAACGCGCACCCCCCCTAGCTAGGGGTCAGGGCTCTCTAGCCCGTAGCCCGATGCCGATCATCCGGCCCGCTGGGTGCGCTTCTCAGCTCCCCGGCCCTGGATGTGAGGTTGATGACTGCACTCCAAGTGCTCCAAGTGCGCAAGGCGGACATGGCATATCGCTCTCGGGCCCACAGACACCCCGCACACTCGCCGCACACCCGCCGCCCCCCGCGCGCGCCCCACCCCGGCCGGGAGAGAGGGGAGTGACAGTTTGGGATGGCAACAGACCGAGTATGTTGAGTCCTGGCTCAACAACGCAGATAAAGGACTTGGGTGGTCCGGCCCACAAGTCCGGCTCATGCGCCCCGATCTGACCCTCTACCGCACTGATCACTTCCGCCCCCTCGCTCCCAACCCATCCACCTCGCCTCGGGCCGCGCCGCGCGATCTCGGGCGATCTCGCGCGATCTCGGGCGATCTCGGAGCTCCACGCCACGCCTCTCCACCCCACCCCACCTCACCCACCGCCGCGCCGCGCTATCTCGGGCGATCTCGGAGCGTCGCTCGCGCGGCGTCACACCTGCTCAAAAAGGAAGGAGGTTGGAGGCAGGAGGTCACGCCCCATCCAGAGCGCCGTCGTCGCCGGGTTTTTGGCCCCCGGGTCGTCGCCCGACGGTTGCTGCGCGGGGCAGCAGACCATCGGACGGCGCGACGACGCCCCGTCCGGCACGCTCCCTCCTCCACCCGGCTATTGCCGCACGAGCGCCCTCAGCGGCGGAATTTTTCCCTCGCGCTTCCTTAGGCCCCCGGCAACGCCGACGGACTTCCCGTCCCCCCACCTGCGCCGCAATCACCGCCGTGATTGTCGGCGCTGCGCCCCTTGGCGCCTGTGCATGTCCCGCGTGCCCGCCTGCCAGGGCTGATGCCAAGAATTTTATTTATTAACTTTATTGAGAGTTCCAACGGACTACCCCCACTCTCGTCGCGTGTGGCTTTTAGAGCACTTGCTCGTCGCTCGCTAGGTCTCACACGTACAAGCTCTGATCCATCAAGTGCGGCCGGCGCAGATCTACGGCATGCACCCTGGCATTGGCGTGCGTCATCTCCAACCAGGCTATGCCTCTCTCGAACGACCTGCGGACACGCGTCCCAGGCAGCCTTCGGAAGAGGGATCGCGCGCGAGCGAGACTGCGCTGCAGCAGCGTGCCATGCCCCCCCGCGTTCGCAGGCAGGAGACCTTGGAGATCGACAGTGATTCCCGTCCTGGCCGGGCTCTGCTCGAGCGCCTGGAAGGCGGCATTGCGCACTGTCCACTCGAACTCCGCCAGCATGTGCGGCACCGTGTACTGGTCCGCCCCGCCCGTGAAGCGCGCCTTTCCGATCGCCGCACAAGCTTCGTCGAGTACGTCTAGCGGCCTCCTCTCACACTCCCGCGCCACTGGTGCCGCCGCGCCGCTAATGTCGTAGACCTTTGCACGGCTCGCATCCGCAGTCTGGAACCGCCCTGGCAGCTCGCAGCCTCGCGCCTCTGCCTGCTGCCTCGCCTTTGTCAGGTGCGCCAGCACCGTCATCGCCACGCCCTGCTCGAAGATGCACCACCCGCGGCCGCCCTCGCCCTCGTACGGCGTTGGGTTGTACTCTCCCGGCCCGAACCCGGTGGTCGCGCCTGGCGGGAGGTCGATGCTGCGCTGCTGGATCACCGCCGTGCCGGTCACGCTCGCGTAGAAGTTCCCCATCACTTTGAGGCCTCGCCCGAATACGCTCCTCTCCTCCTCGGTCCTCTCCTCCCCGCTTGGGCTCTTCTGAGGGAGGCTCGCGAAGTCCCAAAAGAGCCCGATATCGCTTGCCTCGTCTCCCTCGCTCGTGGCAGGGACATTCCGCACCAGCGGATTCTGCTCGAGGCTCCTCGGAGACACTCGCTTCGCCGCCTGCGTGGCCGCGTCAGCCTCGAGAAAGCGGCGGACAGAGGCGAGCGTGGTGCCGTGCGGATCGGGGTGCAGCGCCATCAACCAGCCGTAAGAGAGGACTAGGATAGACCGGTCGCCTCGCTCGAGCATCGCCACCGCCTCGTCGCACGGGACGAAAGCGTCTTCAGGAAGCTCCTGTCGACGGCGCATGATGACCGCTCCGCTGTCCTCGCGTGCCAAGCTCGCGTCCGCCTCAGGCGACTGCAGCCAGCTGCCGCTGACCAGCCGGATCGAGCCATCTCCAAGGCGCTCTTTCAGCTTGGCGTCTATGACGCTGTCCGCGGAGGCCAGCGCTTTGGTGAAGTCGATGCCGGCGAGTACCTCCTTGGTGCGTCGCAGCTGCCGGACGGCGTACACGGCGCCGGCGACGAGGCCTCCGAGCAGAACGGCGGCGAGGAGGATTTCGAGAACGATGTGGGCGACCCGGTCGCCGGGAAGCGCGGTGTAGACGCAAGCGAGCACGAGCAGCAGCACGTTGGAGCGAAAGAGCCAGGACTCGAGCGCGTTCTGAAACAGGTAGACGAACGGCTGGGCCCGCTCGTGCTCGCGCCAGAAGAAGAGATTGGCTGCGATGGCGGCGGACGCGAAGCAATAAGGCAAGGCGGCCTCGAGCGCAGCAGACTCGACATGGTCCCGCGACACCCGGCTAGCAACCGCGAGAGAGAAGATGACCAGCTGACGCCTCCAGATCGTGAGCTGCCAGCTGCTGGCATGGCCGGCGAAGCGGCTGGTGAGGAAAGCGACCTGCCGCTCAAGGCGGCGAGGGAAAATTAGCTCGCGGGCCGCACACGAGCACGAGATGACGGGAGACGAGCGCCACTCGCCGCTGTCGAGACCTCGCCGGAAGCTCATCACGTTCTGAACGAGCCGGTAGGCAAGCAAGGGCTCGACGCAGACGAGGACTATGAGCGACGCAAGCACCGTCGGGTGTGAGTCCAGCGTCTCGGGGTGCCACCGGCGGCTGAGCGGGTCGGGGATGTAGAAGGAGAGGACGTCCATGATGACGCTCCAGCTGGAGGTGAGCAGGACGGCAAAGGCGATGCTGTGCACCAGCTCGGCGTTGTCGCGGAATCCGCTTCGGCGCAAGGCGAGCCGGTGGGCTGATAGGCTCGCTGAGGCTCTGTCAAGGCGACGGCCGAACGGATCAGCCTGGCTCATCTCTTCTTCAAGCCAAATTGCGATCTCCATACCTTTTGTGCGTGCAGCGATGAAGAAAAGGAGGATCGCCTGGCAAAGGAGCAGGGCCAGCTCGGCAGCATATTTGGCAACCAGCGGCATCACCATGAGCGACGTGATTGCGATGATGATGGCTGAATACATTGTTAGCACGGCGTCGGCTGAAACGAGACAGCTTGCACTCGGCAGAGCAATGATGTGCAGCCGCAATATCTCGATGATGATCTCGATCGACCGCGGCCACTCCAAATGGAGCGACCCGATGAGGGAAATCATCTGCACGTGATTGACAAAGATGGCGACCGTCGACACCCATCGTTTCATCGCTGTCGGGTGGCGGAGGATGCGCGATGCAAACCACCCGAGAGCAGCTAGCGCCACTAACGCCAGCGCGGCAATGACGGCGATGATGGCAGTCATAGACTCTCGAAAGGAGTCGCAATTGAAGCACTTGGAGGTGTCTTTGATGTTTACTCCCCAGACGCCTGCGAAGGCTGTGCAGGACTTTGGCGGGACGCCAAAGCAAGTGGCCTCTCCGCTTCGACAGCGTTGCAGGGTAGTCATGAAATCGTCCAAACTAGCCGCGTCACCTGGATACTCGAGTTGGTTGTCGCGCAGGTCGAGGGTCTGCAGCGAGTGGAGGTCGGCTAGCTCCGCTGGGAGCGAGCCCGTGAGGCCAAGGCCCGAGAGGTCCAGAGTACTGTCGGTGTATGTGCCGTCGCAAATCGCGGGCGCGTTGCCGCAGATGTTCTCGCGTAGGTGGCGGCG